GGACACTCGGCTGGTATAAAAACAGATTTTGTATCAGTCACTCAAAAGCCTCAAACGCTCAATAAAATAGGATCTGTCCATTATTCACAACATTATCATTATTCACAATACAACAAGTTCCGATACAACCCCATATTAATATCCTTCAACAACTTGAGAAAACAGGTACCCTTAGAAGAATGGAAAATAGAAAAACAATGGGGACTAAGAATATACACAAAAGGCTATGACCAAGGACTCCTGTTTGGCATTCGCCAAACTATCGAAATTGATACACCACCAACTCTTAAGCCGGCCTCTAAGTCAAAACCAATCCAAAAACCTGAATTAAAAATTGGCCATAGACCCTACCCAGAGATGGATCACTACTTCCAGCCCAGTGACAGATAATAGACAGACTCAACCATCCCAAGATCCCAATTCCTCTGATCCCTTGTTTAAAATTATGGAACAAGCTTTTTCAGTACTTAATGATACTAGGCCTGAAATCACTACAAACTGCTGGCTATGTTATGATATAAAGCCTCCATATTATGAAAAAATTGGATCTCAAGCCACCTTCACCCTGTCTCCTGATTATATCAGCTGCAGATGGAAAAAAGGAACAATGGGACAAGTCACTCTCACATCTATTCGGGACTCTGGTACCTGCATAGGTATTGTTCCTAGTTCATATGAATATCTCTGTAATAAAACCTATCCTGTTAATGCCACTGCATATTATGTCCCCTCCAATAATGGATGGTGGGCATGCTCCTCTGGTTTGACCCCTTGTGTGAATGGACAAATATTAGCTCAATCTAAAGATTACTGTGTCCTGATTGACCTAATGCCCCGAATACTCTATCATGAATATAACAACTTCCTCGATGAATGGAATGATATAAAAAGGGTTAAAAGAGATCCAATAACAGCCATAACCCTAGCAATATTACTGGGGATGGGCACTGCAGGAGCCAATACTGGAACAACTGCCCTCATCACACAACATCAGCAATACAATGGTTTGCGGATAACAATTGATCAAGATATAGAGAGAATAGAGCTGTCAATCACTAAGCTGCAAGAATCCCTGAATTCTTTGGCAGAAATAACTCTTCAGATCAAAAGAGGGATGGATTTAATATTCCAACAGCAAGGGAAAATGTGTGCTGCTCTAGGAAAAGAATATTATTATTATACTGATCATTCTGGAATTATAAGAGACTCCATGGCCAAGGTCAGAAAAGGCCTAAAAAAACGGAAAAAGAAAAGACACAATCTCAGGGATGGTATAAAACTGGTTTGCCTCATCTCCTTGGCTCACATCACTGCTGTCGGCTTTGGCTGGTCCTTTAATTCTGATCTTAATTCTATTGATAGTGGGACCCTGCATAATTAACAGACTGACTGCTTTCATTCAACAGAAAATAAGTGCAGTCAGACTCATGGTACTCCATCAACAGTACCAACATGTCCCTGCTGAAGACAGGGACACTAACCAGCTCTCCACCCAGGTCTCCACACAAACGGCTCATCAGCTGATACCAAGAACACAAAACCCAAACACTGTCAAAACTTCCTTCATATGAAAGCCACCCTCCAGAACCAACCGTCCATCTGGATCTTCACCAGATTCAGAGAATTCCTAGAAAATCTGCTCCCCGATCTATGTTGGATGACTCCACACCCTTGTCCGGTCCTACAGGTAACCAATTGGGTCTCTGAAGCCTAGCTCCAGGGATCCCTTTGTCAGTTCATGCCAGATGAAATTCAGATTTTCACTTTTCTTTTACTTTTCATTATTTCTGAAAATGATTCACCACAGTTTCTGGACTCTACCCTCGATTAAGATCCTGCCTCAGTTCCCTTCCCCGCTGACCAACCTGTATGTTTAAGATTTTATCTTACAGGTAAAATTTCAATGACCTTCAGTTCATCTCACACAATGACAGCAAAGCCAACTAGACATCAGGCTAACCCCTGCCCTTAGATCGACTTATCGCCCCAACTCCGCAGGAAATAGTTACAAAAGACAGACACTCCGCCCCTTTTCCATCTGCCGATGGACATGTTGGCTGCCAGTCATCATCCAAAATCAACGAGTGGGGAATGTTAGGAAATTGTACATGTTACTTTAAATTCCTCCATTTTGTACCTGACTTCCGGGTTCTTCCTAACTTAGGTTTCGTTTTCCCAATTTAAGTTTAGTTTTCCCAACTTAAGTTTCATTTTCCTCCCCGAGTTGAATTCTTCTCAGAAATGACACCAACATCTGATAAGGGACTCCTGAAAGACTAAGACCTTATAAGGCAATGTAGCCTGCAATAGGTTAAAAAAACAGCTAATTCTCCTAAAATTACAAAACTCCCACCCAAGACCCTATAAATGAGCCAACACTCCTTCCCTTGGTACCCGCCTCCCTTTCTTCGCCTCCCGGCCTTTGTGCCTCACCTGACTCCCTTCAATAAAGATCTCCTGCTGGACCTCTAGGTGCGTGAGTGACCTGATTGGGAGGGGGCGCCCGAAGGGACACACTCGACCCCTCTCAGATACTAGACTTAATAAAACAATCACTGAGCTTACAGAAGACACTAGTAAAAAGCTAGTCAAACAAAATAATATAAAACATGAATAACCACAGAGTCTATGAAAAGGTACCAACAGAAGTCTAGGAGATTAAAATTTTTATTGAAACTATGGGCAGCAGAAGTGACTGATGAATGTGTGGTTGGAGGGTCAGAAATGGAAGACAGGGTTGGTGCCAGTGACAAATATTCAGACATACCTTAAAAACAGTAAGAAAACATAAAAATGGATCCACCACTGCTAGAAGACACAATGAAGACTAATGTAATATTAATTGGAATTAGTAAAAACATCATTACACAAATGGCATAAAAACCCGTTACAGAAATAATAGCAGAAAACTTTCCAAATATGGAGAAAGAATTTAACATACAGATAATTGAGGCAAATTTGGTCACCTCACACAGGAAAATTTATAAATCATGGGCTCAAAACAATTGAAACCTACTGTGCTTAAATGTATAATCAATAACTTTGATAAGTGATTTACTGGAGACTATGGGATAAAATTAAGACCAAAAGATGCTCAGGATGCTTTGTGAGCTATTGTGGCCTCAGCTAAGACAGTCTTAGCCCCCAGAGGAAACTCTAGACAATAGAAAAGTTATCTTTTGGGTTTTTTTGTTTTGTATTGTTTTTTTTGAGACAGGGTCTCACTATGTAGTTCACACTGACCTGGAACTCACTATGTAGTCCAGGCTGGTCTCGAACTCACAGCGATCCTCCTGCCTCAGCCTCCCGAGTGCTGGGATTAGAGGTGTGCACCACCATGCCCAGTTTTATCTTTTGTTTTTAACTGAGACTTTGACAACTTGGAGCCTTGTGCAGTTTGTTTTGGGGCCTAAACCAAGCCTGAGAGCCACTCAAGCTTGTGCTCTGCGGCAATCAGCTGCTGATAAGAACTGTTTAGTTTTGGTCTTAAAACAATAGCTTGACAAATCTGTTTTTCCCATGGGAGACTTGCCTCTCTCAGAAAATGTGACACTGTTACAGACAAATCCCAGTGCTTTCGGTTTGGAAAAAGTTGAGAAGCCTCCTCCTCTGCTTGAGTCACTAAGATCACAGATGTAGAGGAGGTGGAGACAAAAGCATGAGAAAAACTATTTGGCTTTACTACACCACAGGATGCAGACAGAGAGCCATGGTCAAACTCAGGATAAAACAGGGCTTACACTCAGCTTGAAAAAAACTAAAATGAAAAAATAAACAATAGATTAAAAATAGTTTAAAAAGCTCTAAAAACCATATAGAAACACACACACACACACACACACACACACACACACATATACACAAGAAACCACTGGAAGCTTTAAGAGCCCCAAGGCTAGCAGTGTGTTATCAGCCTCAGGCTGCTTGCAAAGGTCTGATATCCAAAACAAAGCCAGAGAAACTGCAACTGCTCTCTGCCACACATCAATAGATTCTACAAGAAAAATCAAGTTACAAATTTTAACTATTTGACAAATATATCTTTGTTTCAATTTCAGTTGATGTTTTATTGATATGCTTAATTTTTTTTTCTTGTACAGGACAAATTTGAAATTGTGATTATAGGGTTAACTTTTTTATATACTTTGTTGATTAAAAAAACCCTCAAAATTAATACTGTTCTACTGACAGCGAGTCAAATTTTAAAATATAACACTCCAAAAACAAAAAAAGAGACTGTAAAACTTTAACAAAGATATTTGTTATATATAAAGGTTTATAATAAATAAAATGACAAAAAATATTTAAAAAGCTATAAGTAGGCTGCGGATTTAGCTCAGTGATTCCGGTGCCTGCTTTGCAAGCACAAGGACCTGAGTTCAATCCTTGGTACAAAAAAAAAAAAAAAAAAAAACCTAAAAGTAAAAAAATACTTTTTTGCTTGTTTTAACATGTTTATTACACCAGATACAATTCACATCTGACTAGCTTTGTTTCCTCTTTCCCCTCCCACAACCATGTTCATTGGGCCATTTCCTTACAGTCGAGCAATCCGTGTACTCTCAGCACACATGCTCAGCAGTACTTTCAGTCCATTCTTACAGGGTGCAAATGGATTTTCAATAATTTATACAAACAGGTGGGTTATGCTCAATCACTGCAATTTTAAGCTACTGTACACAGGAATGAAAAGGTTATAGAAAAGTGCCATAGCAACAGTGCCTTATGAAAGGAGGAAAAGAGGAGTCTTAAAAAATGGGTAAATCAGATCAAGGATTTAAGAGGGAAATGGAACACAAAGGAAATGAAAAAACATTTCTCTGCAGAACAAATGGAGAAGCACTGCTCTTGATCAGGTGCAGGTGTGGAAACAGCTGTTTCATGATATTTTGTACACTGCCCATATGGTTCAAAATTGCATCCTTAGACACAGATCACCTGGCGCTTGCACCAAATTTTTGAAAATGCAAGATTTCTGAATGATAAATTAACCCCCCCAATTTTTTTTTAAAAAAGCTAATTTTGCAGACAGTTTTACATGTAAAAGGCTAGGTACTTAGCCACCTCAGCACTGATTAGTTTTGGATGTCTAAGCTCTGTTACACATGGCTTCCCATGGCTTCACTCTACAAAACATATTTACAACGTGAAGAATACATCTACAAGAAATCTACATTTCAAGGGTTTTACAGATCAATCTGTATCTTTCCCCTGAATCAACTGTCACAGACCCTATCATCCCCTTGTCATTTTCTCTGTCCAGCTTAACGGTCCAAAGTCTACTTAAATGCAGCTCAAAAATGTTAAGACTGGGCAACAGATTTATAGTTCCTGTATGCAAAACCAATATGTGATTATTCACATCTTCACACCATAAAGGAATTCTGATTTTTTAGCTTTTCAAGTTCCTTAATTTGTTGTCTCAGAAACAGTATCCTTTGCTCTTGTAAAGTTGCTTGAATTTCACATACTCGGACTAAAGATCTTAAATTTTTTAATTCGGTACAAATTTCTGACATGTGAACACTTCCCATGTTATGGGCTTCTTCACGCAATCTTGATGCCTCCTTCTCTGCATGGTCTGCAGGCCAGCCTTGAACGTGTTTTATGAGATTTTCATTGAAATGTGCTGCTAGTGTTAAGGAGCACGGAGGGCGGACAGATGAGTTCTGGGGTACAACTGTTGCATTCGATGCATTGCTACTCGAAGTGTGATGTGGACCAAGGGACGGCCTTCTCTGGCTGGAGTGCTGAAGACTTCGAGGAGAGACAGGCTCATGAACCTGCTGCTTGTCAGCAGTTATGGGCTGCTGTGTGGCCGACTGTGACACTGGTCCTTGCTTAACTACTGGAGTACTAACCTTTGGCTGTGATGAAACAGGAGGAGTACTAATCAAAGGTTTGATAGGGACTCCTTGGAGATACATAAGATCTTGGGGATGAGGCATCAGATGTTAAAGACATGGGAGACTGATTGGATGGCTGGGCTTGGGTAAAGAGCTGAGCAGCCTGACAAATTAGAGACGTTATGTTGAAAGCAGATGGTCCAGCAGTAGGAAGCTTAGGAATTATAGACTGCAGTGAAGCTGGGGTCCCAGCTGCTGTAAGAACTTCATTTATTTTGGATATGTCCATGTTAGAATTATTGAGCTGCAGTGTGGCTTGTAAAGCAGGAAGCAACTGTCTGAGAAGATTTGGGTCCTGGAGTAGTGGAGGTATCGGTGACTGTGGGACAGGAGAGACAGGGACTGCAGAAGCAGATGTCGGAGGTGCAGATGTGGGATTCAGTCCAGAGGCAGAAGACGTAGAAGGAGTTGTGCACGAATGGGATACTGATTTGTCTCCTGCTGTAGATTTTCCACTGGCAAACCCACTAGTGGCTGTTGCTTGCATCACCTCTCTTCTGTAATCCCTATCTTTTGGGAAGCTATTAACTGCCACCTTATTTGCTTCTTTTTGTCTCTGTTCTCTTTCAAGCCACTCTTTTGGTTTTTCCCAGTGTGAAACTTCTGTTTGGCAACTGTAGTAATACTTTTTCCCAGAAGAGCTAATGTGCTCAGACCAGTCATCTGCAGAATCATAAGGTGCATCTGAAGTCTTGCTTGGATTATCGCTTGGATTACAAGAATGTGAATTTGAGCTATGAAGAGCACTATGGTTGTGTGAATTTTCTTGTGGAGAGTAACTGGTCCTACCTTCCCTCTCTCTAACTCTGTGACTATGCACATTTTTGGCCTTATTGTGACCTGTGCTGTCACTGTATTTGTTTTCAGGACTATCAGATCTCCGCAACATTTTATTTGGTGGTGAAGGATCTGCGGCGTCTCACATCTTTTCATGTCTGTGATCACCACTACTGGGGTGACTCCTCGATGAGTATTTAAGCACCTGGCAAGGCTGCGAGTTTCCCCTCCGGTCGTGACAGCTCGGCTCAGTCCGGCCTTCCTCTTCCTCTGAGGCCTGGCTGGCCTTCTCGCGGCCCAGCAGCCCTTTCCGGTTGCCGCTTCTCGTCTTCACGCGCAAGTCTGGCCGCTGTGGTTCCAGTTTAGGGGTAGTCCTGGTCGGGGGCCTGCTGGAGGCTGGTCCCAGGGACTCCGGGCTGCGAAGGGTGGGAGCTGCCTTTGGGAGGAAGACGGTGGGGCGCGAGGGACGCCATCGCGGACTAAATCTGGCCAAGAGATATACTTTTGATAGAAAAAGTTTTATATGTTTGTCTTGTTAAAAAGACAGAGATGTATAAGACCAGAAGGCCTAGATACATAAAAAAGGTGTACAAAAGTGATTTATCAAAAAAAAATGTTTACTTGTTGGTTTCAAGTTTGCTAAAAGATTTACATTTACAGTCATAAAGAGCTTTTATTTATTGTGATTCTAATTCTATAAGAGATCTCTATTAACTGACCTGCAAAAGTTTTGACTAGTTTTAATTAAAAGAGATGTTATAATTCAATCGGCCAAATATATTTGAGTATACTTTAGTTTCATAAATTGTCTTATATGTTTGTTTATATTTGTCCAATTATTTAAAAGTGTTTGTCCAATTATATTTTTTATAAAAATGACATCAAAGATACAAATAAATTGTTAATTTCTAGAACCTGGTTTTACAAGTTAAAAAGTTGTCAAAATAATTAAACATAAATTTTTAGGTTTAGATAGACTCCTGGTGACAAATACAAAAGACAGCTCCTCAAAAAATTTATTCTGGTCTTTGTTTACTAATAAAAGCCCCAATAATTTTCATAGACTTCTGAAAAGATATAACCCCAATAAACATCGCTAAATATGTTGTTATAAAATGTTTACAGTGGTTATCATCAAAGGGTTAAATTCTAAATATGTTATTGTGATATGTTTACAATGGTCATCTTGAAAATATAATATTTTCTATAAAAAACAAAGAGTTATTAAAAGGGATGGCCCCCTTGTTTATGAGCTCTGACAGCTGCAATTATGCTAATTAAAAAAGTTGACAAGCTAAACTTAAGACAAAAATTGACTATTCAGGTTCCCCATGCTTTCCTAAAACTGTTAAATAACAGAGGACATCAATGGTTCTCAAATAATAGAATCACATTATCAGGCCCTTATCTGTGAAAACTCCCATCTAAGTTTTGTTCCAGTTAAAACCTTAAATCCTGCTACTTTTTTGCCCTAAGAACCTAGCCCTCCTGACCACAACTGTCTCAATGTCACCAATGAGCTGTTCTTGAGTCATCTGGATCTACAGAAAACTCCACTGCCTGATGGTGATTTTGTCCTGTTCACAGAGGGGAATAGTCTCATAAAAAAACAGGGTACACTATGCTGGCTAGACATTAATGACTCAGGATGAAATGGTCCAAGCAGGACCACTCCCCTCTGGATAGTTGGCTCAGCAACCAGAGCTATGGACACTTAAACAGGCTTTCCGATGGGCAAAGAAAAAAAAAGATAAACATGTATACAGATTCCATTATGTCTTTGCCACTTTACATATCGATGACATAATGTATAAAGATTGTTGTCTTCTCACAGCAAAAGATAGATTAATAATAAACAAAAAATAATACAGTTATTTGAGGCAATGTAAAAACCTGATAAAATAACAATGATAACATTGCTCTTCACACACACACACACACACACACACACACACACACAAACCAAAGGCCCCTAGCTACTATAAAATACTCAGATAAAAAAGTTCTTCCTGTGCTAACACCTGCCCATTTAATAAAACTGGGAGACTGAGTTTATATTAAAAAATTTTTAAGGCTGGGCATGGTGGCGCACGCCCGTAATCCCAGCACTCGGGAGGCTGAGGCAGGAGGATCGCTGTGAGTTCAAGACCAGCCTGAGCTACATAATGAGTTCCAGGTCAGTCTCAACAACACAGTGAGACCCTGTATCAAAAAAACATTTTTTTAAAAGACCCTTTAAAAACTATATAAAAAAGACCATATGAGGCACTTATAATTACTCCCACAGCTGTCAAGATGGCTAAAATCCCACCATAGATTCACCACTCTAAAATAAAGCAAGCTTATTGAGGGAACGCCAGGAGACAATGCACTCAAATCCCTGTTCCCACTTCAAAGGTTGAGAGTCAATACATGGCTAAAAATAAAGATTATAATCAAGATACTATAGGCTCCTTTATTGTGTCAGATGGTTATGGGTTCTTTTGTTTTTAAATTAAAAATTTATAAGCCTAAAGATAAGGTTTCTTTTGTTTTGTTTTGCTTTTTTTGGCTTTTTGAGACAAGGTCTCACAATGTAGTTGAGACTGAACTGGAATTCACTATGTAGCCCAG